CCTAAAGGCTTTGGGCACAGTGGGTGGAGTCTAGGGAGTTTCTGAGGAGGGGAGGAGGAAGAGGCGGGGTCAGACTTGAAGAGGTTCTATAAGAGCTGATGGTGTTCAACAGAGTTCATCAGTTCATCATCCACCCTTTGGAGACTTTTCTCTGAAAGAGAGGCTGATTTGGACATTTTGAGGTGCCGGCAAGGGAAGGCTAAACCCCTTGGATCCCTGAAACCTTGAGGCGTCTGCTCTTCACCTCAGAAACAAGGGTGAGCTTGCTATCTCCCAGACACTGAGTCTCACCGTTTGTTCCCAAAGGCACTTCACTGCCTTCCACTGTGACCCACCAGAGATGCCACCCCAGAAGCCTGGTGCCCCGGACTGCAGTTTTGAACCGCCGCGTTCTCTCATTGAGAACCTTCCAGCGACGTGGAGCAGAGCAACCAGAGTAGGAGCCGGGCTTCGCAACATGGGCAACACCTGTTACGTGAACGCGGCTCTGCAGTGTCTGACCCACACACCGCCCCTGGCAGAATACATGCTGTCCCGAGAACACTCAGCAACGTGTAGGCAACACGCCTACTGTGTGCTCTGCACCGTGCAGGCTCACATCACCCAAGCCCTGTGCCATCCCGGACACGTCTTGGAACCCTCGCCAGCACTGGCTAGAGGCTTCCATAGACAGCAGCAGGAAGACGCCCATGAATTTCTGATGTTCACTCTGGATGGCATGCAGAAAGCCAGCCTGCCAGGGAACAAGCATTCCTCAAGCCTCTCTGAGGACAACGGCCCGATTCGTCAAATCTTTGGTGGTTACTGGAGATCTCGAGTCAAGTGTCTTCAGTGCCAGGCTGTGTCAGACACCTTCGACCCTTACCTGGACATTACCTTGGATATCCAGGCAGCTGAGAGCGTGAAGGAAGCTTTGCAACAGTTAAGCAAGACCGAAGAACTAGCTGGTGAGAACTGCTATTACTGCAACGTTTGTCAGAGGAAGGTACCTGCCTCCAAGACTCTGAACATGCACACTTCCCCTGAGGTCCTCATGCTGGTTCTGAAAAGGTTCTCAGGCATGCCAGGCCACAAAGCGGCTAACTACGTGCATTATGAGGAGTGTCTGGACTTGGGTGGATGCCTGTCTGAAGAGAATGGAAGAGTGGCCCCTTACAGACTCTATGCAGTGCTGGTCCACTCCGGCCCGACTTGCCACTCTGGGCATTACCTCTGCTACGTGCGGGCCGCCAATGGTGAGTGGTACCAAATGGATGATGCCAAGGTATCTGCCTGTCATGCGACTTTGGTCCTCAAACAACAAGCCTACATCCTGTTTTACATCCATCAGAGTCAGTCGACAGGCGAGGCTGGCAGTGTGCCGCAAGCCAGCAGATCAACGGGATGCCGAATTGAGGATTCGGAAACGAGCCTCATCTCACACACGGATGGAGCAAATGCCACCAGACACGGTCCACCATCACATGAGAAACACCCGGATGAATCCTCTTCTAAGCAAATGACCTTGGAGGAGTGGAAAAGCCTCCAAGCCCGAGAGAGTGTGAAGCCTGAATTCAAGCTCAGGGAAATCGACACGGGCCTCCCCTCAAATGCAGTGGTAATTCACAAGTCAAAAGCCAGCCTTGGGCCTGGAAAGGACTGGCAGGAAGAGGATGCCCGCACACCTGATATCATGGACAGATACATCCCTGGAATGGTGCTGCCTGGAAACATTGGCTATGGATTCTGTGGGGGCGGCATCTCCAGAGAGAGCAACAAGAAGAAGAAGAAGAAGAAGAAAGGAAAGGGTCCCAGACCACTGGAGGGATTCTAGCTGAGTCTGTAGGATCGCATTCGTCGTACCTCATGACGATTTTCTCTCGAGGAGTCCTCACCATTCCACAAGGATTCATCTGCTTGATTCCTCGCTGAACCAGAAGAAAGAAATGCTTAATTTCCATGATGAATGTTATTTCATATTTGATTAATTGGGTTGATATTGCTATATATCCTTTTATATTGACTTTTGCTTTTTGGGATGTTATATCAAATTTCAGTTTGCTTGCTAATTTAATTTGTTTTATATTGTTGTTAAGATACCATGTTATGTAAAATTCTACTCTTTCACTTCAGTTAAGTTCATTACATTATTAAAAATAAAATTTTTTTTATTGTAGTTTAATTATATTTTCATTTACTTTGATATTTAACAATTTCTTTCCAGAGACTTTATATGATATTACTTTATATTATTCATGAGCTTTGTAATTCGGTAATTATTTAGACATCGTTTATGTGTGTCATGTGTCACCTGGTGGGTGCTCACTCAATCTGGATGGGTATAGTTTTCCTATGAGCAGCTGGTGAATTTCAACAGCAAAACTAGCGTTTTGTAATCCAGTGCTTATCATTTAGCGCACCTCCAGGACTCCTTGCTATGGATTCATTTTCTTAGTTTAATCTATGTCTTTTTTAGTTTCCCTCGTTGAATTAAAATTCAAATAGTTACAGTTTTGGAAACTGTTGATCTCATTGTGTGAATTTCAACAGCAAAACTAGCGTTTTGTAATCCAGTGCTTATCATTTAGCGCACCTCCAGGACTCCTTGCTATGGATTCATTTTCTTGGTTCATCTGCTTGATTCCTCGCTGAACCAGAAGAAAGAAATGCTTAATTTCCATGATGAATGTTATTTCATATTTTATTAATTTTGGGTTGATATTGCTATATATCCTTTTATATTGACTTTCGCTTTTTGGTATGTTATATCAAATTTCAGTTTGCTTGCTAATTTAATTTGTTTTTTATTTTTGTTAAGATTCCATGTTATGTAAAATTCTATTCTTTCACTTCATTTAAGTTCAATATATTATTAAAAATAAAAATTTTTTTATTGATGTACTTCTTCAGGGACTGATCCCTCATAATAATATATCCGAAGTATGGGCTGCCAAAAGAACAAATAAATCTGTGTTGGAAGAAATTCAGCCAGAGTGTTCCTTGGATGCCAGGATGGCCAAACTTCGTCTCTCATACTTTGGACATATTGCCAGGAGGGACCAGTCACTGGAGAAGGATATCATGTTTTGTAAGGTGGAGGGTTAGAGAAAAAGAGGAAGGTCCCCAGTGAGATGGATTGGCAAAATGGCAGCATCAATGGGCTCAAGCGTGACAAAAATTGTGAAGTTGGTTCAGGATCGAGCAGTATTTCGTTTTGTTGTACATGGGGTCGCTATGAGTCTATACCCATTCTATGGCACCTAACAACAACAACAAATGAGAAATGAAATCTGTCCATCCTGGCTTCCAAGGAGTATTATGGCTGCATTTCTTTCAACACAGATTGGTTTGTTGTTTTGGCAGTCCATGGTACTTTTAATATTCTCTTCCAACATCATAACTCAAATGAATCAATTCTTCTAAGGTCTTCTGTATTTATTGTCCAATTCACATGCATATGAGGTTATTGAAAATACCACAGCTTGGATCACGTGCACCTTAGTCCTCAAACTGACATATTTGTTCTTCAACACTTTAAAGATGTCTTGCGCAGCTCATTTGCCTAACTTCTTAATTGGTGCTTCCATGAGTGTTGACGACTAATAGGAGGAAAATGAAGTCTTCGCCAGCTTCAACATTTTCCCCATTTATCTTGTTATTTATTGGTCTGTTGTCATTGTTGCTTTTAAGAGCCACCAAGTCAATTCCAAACCATAGCAACGCTGTTTATGGTTTCTGAAGAGCAGATGGTGAGCTTGAACCACCCACCTTGCAGTTCAAATTGATCTAGCAGTCCTGCGCATTAACCCACAGTGCCACACCAAGATTCAGAGGTGAGGATTTTGTCTTCTTCACATTGAGACTCAATCCATACTGATGCTTGAGCTCTTTGATCTTCATTAGTAGGTATTTTAATTAGGAAGAGCAATTGCTAATTATAGAAGGCCTTATCAGGTGGCATCCCAGGCATGAGCTGACTTCTCTGAGTCTTCACTTTACCATATGTGTGGACATCAGTAAGCTGTCTTGTGCCTGTATGTGATTGGATCAGGGTGGACACTTGACGGAACAGGACCAAGAAAATCCCTCTTTGAGAATCTCTAAGGGGCTGAAAACTGTCTTTTTTCAAAAATTTTAAATCACATCAATTAAAGAAATTCAGATTTAAACACAATGACCCTACCATCAGCTGCCTTGTGCTTTGTTCAGAGAAGAGCAAAGAAAGTTCTTCAGAGAGACACAGGATTGAAAGAAGCAGAGAGGAGAAGCAGGAAGAGAGAGATAATATCTCCAAAGAGATATTAACATTTGTTTCCAAGATTCCAAGTTCCGTCTCTGGTCCCTTAAGAGGACCAACCACATTCTCGCCTTTGTTCAGCATAATAGCCCTTAGTTCTTTGAATAATTTCTCCTTTCTATAAGCCAGGTGAAGAATATTTTATATTTTATAAGGAACAAAATTTGTTCCTTATAAAATATTACATATGAACTAAGCGTTCTTGCTTTCTTACTCTATGCTAATTCAGCAAGTAGCTGCTTTTCTAAGGAAATTCTTTTTCAGGCACAGAAAGAAAAAGTATGGTTTTGTGTTTTTAAAAAAAAGTAATATTCTTTCAAAAGAAAACAAAAAATAAAGATGTGAATATATGTTCCTGTGTGTATATGTTAGCCAAGCAGGAAAAGTACGAGAAAAAAACACAAAATGCATTTAAATTGTTTCTCTTATTATATGAGATTTTGAAAAAATATACCATAATTAAGAAAAAACACAATAATACAGATAAGCATGCATCTACAGACTTGTGTCAATATGTCATTCTTACCGCACAGCCCCAAGAAGGAGCCCCGTATACCTAATGAAAGAATGAAGTATGAGAAGACCACTTACTAGTCCAAGGTTAGGCAGAAAGTAAATCATCTGTCTTGGATATAACTCTAGGATATATGATGTTAAAGCCTTCATATCCTTCCTCTTAATTTTTTGAAAACATTTTCTAGTTTCCCAAAATGTATTTTATATTACATTAATCCCATAGAACATCCTGTGGTCCAATAAATTTTGGAACTACTGAATAAACAATTACTCCTTTCAGAGATTTTCAAGGTGCATTCATTTACTATATATAGTCTATAAAGAAAGACACTCTACTCTGTTTAACCCAATGTTTTTGCTTAATATATTTTCTAAGGAATCATTTTAAGTGTTATTAAATTATATTACCAACAGATATATTGATATATTTGATAGCTAATACTTTATTACTGACTAGGGAAAAAAAAACAACAACAATGCATAACACTTGGTCTCTATTCACCTGGAACAACAGAAGAAAATGCAGCGTCAGGAATAGGAGAAGGATATGGAAGGTGAATATGTGTCTAATTGGCTTCCTTTACTATGTAACCAGAAGAACTAGACATTGTCTAGTGACCAGCACTGAACATTTTGATCAAAGATTCTACAGAAGAACCTTGGTCAAAAGGGGGGAAATGTGGAGTAATGTTTCAAATTTTCATGGGCTCCAGATTTTCAGGAGTCATGGAGGCTGAATAATGAACTATGCAGACTTGAAGTTAGAAAAGCAAAAGGGAAAAACATGCTCTGTATATCTAAAGGTGAAAGCACTCGCAAAAAATTGCAACCCTCAGGTTGCAATAGTGAAGGATCCTATGGACAAAATATTTTAAGAGGCAGGAAGCAGCAAAAGAAGAGGGAAAGAATACAGAATCACTATACCAATAAGAATTGGTCAATGTTCAATCATTTCAAAGAGGCAGGATATGGAGGGAAAAGTCCAAGCTGCATTGAAGGTATCGATGAAAAACAAGCTCAAGGAACTGACAGAATACTAAGTGAAATCTTTAACAAATTGATGTAGCACTGGAAGCACTGACTTTTTTATGACAAGAAATTTGGAAGACAGCTACCTGGTCAGCTGATTGGAAGACATCCATATCTTACCAAATCCAAAGAAAGGTGATCCAATGGAATGTGGAAATCATTGAAAAATATCATTAATATCACATGCAAATAAAATTTTCCTAAATGGTTGTAGCAGTACATCGACAGGGGCCTTCAGTAATTCAAGCCAGATTCATAAGAGAAGTTGGTAAAAAGGATATTATTGCTGGCGTCAGATGGATTTTGGCTGAAAGCAAAGAATGCCAGAAAGATCTTTCCTTACGCTTCATTGACTATGCAAAGGCTTTCAACTCTGTGGATCATAGAAAATGATGGATAACTTTGTGAAGAATGGGTATTCCAGAACACTTCACTGTTCTCATGAGGAACCTGAACATATACCAAAAGGTAATCCTTAAACAGAAAAGGGGATTGCTGGATGGTTGGGTTCAGGTAAAGGTGTGCATCAGGGTTGTACCCTTTTACCACACTTATTCACAATTGATCACTTTGGATCTTTCTCTTTTTCGATATACTCTCCACTTTACCAGGCCTTGTTGATGATCATGGAGGTGAAAGGGCCTACTAGTGGCTGTGGTGATGGTGGTAGTGGTGGGCTACAGTAATGTCCGCTGTGATAACAGACTGACAGGGGGCTGGGTAGGAGGGGACTCCTGAGCTCCCTAGGGCTGCCATCCTCCATGAGGCCTCCGGCAGTTGTGCACACCTGGGGTCCCTATCCACATAGTCTGAGATGAGGTGGGGGTCTCAGGATGGAAGCTCCTTTAGCATATAGGACCCTCACTTTCAGCACAGGTTCCAGTCCTGCCACTGCAATAGCCACAGAGGGAAGGGGCACTAGAATGAGGGGGAACTCTGTCTGGCACAGAGTAAGTGCTAAGGAAATGCCGCTATTATCAATAATATAGGTC